CAGGTGTGAGAGTGTACTGAGATCAAGAGAACAAGCAGGCCTGTGGCAACTTTTATTAAGAGTTGCTCAAGGGAGTCTGAATTTTGTGTGGTCAGTACTGTTGATCCCATAAGCATACTGTCCTCATCAAATTGCTGGGCCCAGACAAATTTTTGGCTCAGATAAACATGCCACATGCGTGGGCAGCAGGATAAACTGCTGGGGGATTTCCTTTAATGACCAAGCACCCCTTCCTTCCAGGCGGCCACGTGGTGGAGGAGCACCCAGAGGCTTCCCGAACTCCAGAAATACCACTGTCTGCACATGTCATTTTTATGTTAGCTAGCATCTGCCTTTCTACACAAAGTTACTATTAATTGATATTTGACTTTTTCTGGAAATAGAAGCATACCATGCACATTTCATGACCAGCAAAGTCTGCTGCTCCAGCGTCCTAACCGAAAGATGATCATTTGTTAGTTGCCTTGAAATAATGAATATATTTCCATATGGTCCCTAACACTTTCTTAATGTACCAAGGGCTTCTTACCTCTGCCCTGCCCTCTCCCCAGAAAATTTGTTTTTCCAAAAAATGTCAGCTATATCTACACTGTGCTCAAGTCCTATGTTTCTTGATATATGTAACTCTACCACGGTCTTCTTACTAATATTTCCTTTCAAACAATTGAATTCTGTCCTCAGATTATTGAAGACTAAACCTAATGTGGAACCGAGGATAAAATTTTGAGTAGAGTTGATCAAAATCAATAAAGACAGTATCTTTAGAAGAAAAGGACTTTAAAGGGAGGAGCTGGAGTGATGTGGGGTGGAAGTCTGCAGTGTTTCAGGGAGATTGGTAAGAAAGAGGAAGTGAGTGGGAGAGAAGGATTGGAAGGGATAAAATGGGTTACTTGATTGACAATTAGGTGGGTGTAAAGAAGCAAGTTAAAAGGCTAAATCAAAGGGCATAGAAAGCTGTAGAAGACAAGGGCTTCCTTATTTTATCAAGACATCATAAACAGAACGACAACTCTTTGGGAAAAACTTACATCTAAATTTTCCCAACAAGATTGCTGAATACATTATGTTTCTGCCAAACAATGCAATTATTTTAACTCATAGAAGAGAGAAAATGTTCACAATATATTCAGTTGTAAGCCAGGTGATAAAACGATGTATTGTAATGCCCATCTTTAAAATACGTTGCATATACGTGTATACACAGTAAAAATGGAAATATATTGACAAATGTGAACTGTGGTTATTTCTAGGTGGTGAGATGACTATGCTTTAGGCTTTTTCCTCTGTGCACTTTTTTCCTTTTTTTTTTTTTGAGACAGAATCTCACTGTCACCCTCTATAGAGTGCTCTGGCATCGTAGCTCACAGAAACCTCAAACTCCTGGGCTCAAGTGATCCTCTTGCCTCAGCTTCCCCAGTAGCTGAGACTACAGCTACATGCCACAACACTGGGCTAGTTTTTTCTTTTTTTTTCTTTTTTTTTTTTTTGCAGTTTTTGGCCAGGGCTGGGTTTGAACCCACCACCTCTGGCATATGGGGCCAGCGCTCTACTCCTTGAGCCACAGGCGCCACCCAGGGCTAGTTTTTTCTTTTTTTTAGAGGACGGTCTTGCTCTTGCTCAGGCTGTTCTTGAATTCCTGAGCTCAAGCAATCCACCGGCCAGAGCCCCCAGTGGATGCCCAGTTTTGTTTCCAGCTTTGGTGTGAGGCTGTGCTGTGAGGACAAGTGATGCTCCCATTATTTAGGCACTACTTGATCCACAGTTTGTGTTTTTTCTTTTTCTTTTTTTTTTTTTTTGAGACAGAGCCTCAAGCTATCCCCCT